ATCATGGTGTTTGGTACATTTGATTTCTGTTGTCTGCCTGCTGTACTTGCTAGACAATTGTAATTTATTGATTGATGAGGTGATAAAATTATGAATAGAAGGATAAAACCTGAGGGATAGAAACTGAATAAGAGAAATAAAGTTCAGAAGAAGAGATTTTGTTTTTAATTGAAACATAAATTTGAGAAAGGATTATGAGATTTCATTTTTACAAAAGCGTATGGGAGTGAGTTTTAAGACATAAAATCTCTGTATATTGACCCATTCTGGGTGGCCCATTGTGCAAAGTTGTATTTAGGTAATCTATGGTCAGTAAAGACCCAATGGGGTTGACAGTCTAGAGTGCAAAGAAGAGAAATGAACAGTTCCATTATGCACTATTCTTAGCACCACCTAATCTTTGCTTTTTCACATTAGCAGATGAAGCTGACCAAGCTGTATGAAATTTATGCTTGTCTGACCTTCAGGGAGAAGGATCTCCTAAAAGAGCAGATAGGAGCAGGTCTGATCTCTGTGTAGCTCTTGGGAAGGCTGAGTTAGAGCTGCATCTCTTGATTTGCCTGCTGTACATGCTCAGTGCCCGTGCTGCACAACAGTCGGGGCAACCAGTGTAAAGAGACAGTCTTAATGGGCCATATTCAGAGATGACTTCTGACTTTTTTGTCCACATTGTCCCTGTCCCCTATTCCAGGGAATAGATTGAGACTGCTTTCTTATTTGGTCAAAACTTTCTTTCCTCATATTGTGGAATCCTTCCTCAGCCTTTCACTTTTCCATTTTCGTTTAAAGACTTAATGGAAGGCATTAAATTAGCTTTCTTTTCCTTTTATTCCTCCTCCCGGCCCTTTTCACACCTTCCCGTGACAGCATACTCACTTATTTCCCACTTGGGGAGCCAGAGAGCATCCCTGCCAACACAATCCCTTAGCTTACATCATAAACTATGAGATGCAGAAAAATCTGTTAAAGAATTGAAGAGGGACAGAGGAATAGAAGAGAAAAAAAAAAAGAGGAAGAAATCATCCTTCATTTTCCAGTGAGACAGTATATTAATTAAAGGTTCAGTAAAGTATGAGTCCTGTTCCCTTAGCATTCACACAGGAAAAGCAATACTTTTTTTTTTCTCAGAAGTTTATTGAATAATCTTTCCCCGATTTAACTATGTAAATAGATTTTCCCTATAAGAATTATGAAAAAAAAAATCTAGTAAAATTAATTGCCTGACCTCAAATGGAAAGGAAAAAAGATTTATAGAAATTTGTTTTCTTTCAGAAAGCATTATATAGTTTAGGAGTCACAAATCAAAAGATGTAACTAACAACATAATGAGAATTAAAAATAAAAAATATAAAGGTTTTAAGTTTCATTTTATTTGCCTTCTGATTCTTAAAACTCAATCTTTTAAGTTCCTTTGTCTGCCACTGCAAATCACAGAATGCCTTAGATAGAAATGAGCATTATCTTTTCAAATATTTACATAGTTTAGGAGTCTTTTATTCCAAGATGACAACAGACTCTAAATTAAATTAAAAAATCACACGTTGCTTAAGAAAATAATCAAAAATACCTTAATTTCAAAATATGGAAAGAATGAGGGGAGAAAAAAATCAAAAAGAAGCAAAGTTGTAGGAACAGCACTGAGACTGTTAAGTTCAAAATATACTCAGTAGATCACATGAGCAGTCAAAAACTTGATCAGTACCTGCCTGAACTCCCAGATATGCTCACTTCTTGCTTCATTTTGTGAGTAGACTACTGTAAACAGCCTTAGATTAACATGAAGTTATCAGTCTATTGCACATCCATAATGACCCTGAAGAAAGGATGTGGTGTTATCATCAGTCATGTAAAGTCTCCAGAACTAAAACACATAATTGTCCCCAGGTCTTTGCAGAAAGCACAGCATCGTCACCTGGTTTGCATATCACATTCAACTTTTTTGTGAATGGTAAATGCAAAGCTTTCATGATATGAACCTTTTGGAATGTTTTAATTTTTTTGTTAATACTCATGGAAATATTATGAGTTTGACATGTATATTAGTATTATATTTAAACTTCTGTTAGGTGGAAACTTAAAAAGGTGTATAGTATTTGTTTTAAACAGAATAAGATAGTCTGAGCTAGGCTTGGTGGAATCAGTTTATAACTTTACCATAAGAACTTAAAACCAGAATTTAAATTTCCTGACAAAGCCTTTACCTCCCATACACTAGAAATACTGCTATTAAACCAAAGTAAAACTATGGAAATCCCCCCAAAACAGTAAACCTGTAAAAAACAGTGCTTTATTTTTACTGTTTGAGGAGTTGCTTTCAGCTTCCATGAACTGAAAAGAGTGTCTTACAAAAATATCTGATCTGTTCATTAGGTGACTAGGATTGTTTATGTTCTCCCTCTAGTTCTCCAATACCTAAAAGAGCGCTGGACCTTGATGGGATACCAAGTGCATAGTGCCACTACACAGAATTTGAGAGGGAAATAAGAAGTTCTTGATTTGACAGGTAATTTTCTCACTGCTTCTTGAATTTTTTTTGTAAGTTCATAACAAAATAACAAACAACAAGCAAAACCACCCCCCCAAAAAAACCTCAACCCAACCCAAACCAAATCCAAAACAAATGAAAAACCTCAAACAAAACAAACAACCCTCACCCCCAAACAAAAACCAAACCAAACCAACCAACCAAAAAACCCCCAAACAACCCAACAACAACAACAAAACCCCATAACAAAAAAACCCCAAAAACTCTAAGGATAAAGTTTGAAGGGAAAGGTTTTGTAGAGCACAGAAAACCATGACAGATTTGGAAGCCATGACAGTTCTTAATTTAGCAAAAAGTTTTCATTGGCTAATAATTCATCTTAAGTCTTTTGAGAAAGGTTTCCTCCCACAAGCGGTTTGTAGAGCTCCTAATTTTCTGCCCATTTATTCCGTCAGCAGAGTATCATGGAAAGCTATGCAGCTGGAAACAAAGGGTATCTTTTGATGCAAACAGTGAAAAATTTGAACCCTTATTGAGATAACAAACGTAACAACGTTTTAAGTGTACTTAGTTTTTACAGTACAGACTACAAAACACTTCTACAAATGAGGGACAGCATAAAGAAAAAGCAATACTTTCTGAAAGGCAAAATAAGGATTTAATTTTCATTTACTCCTTGTGTTCCACGTACCACACAGTCCTAAAGCTTTGAACTATGATCAACAGTGTTATCATTGTCGACTTCTATTTAATAGGTAACCCTTCAATTAAATACTGCAAACAATTTCTTTCAAAAATGGATAAAAATCTGAGTCTTAAGGAGATAAATATTAGTAAAGCATAAACAATCCTGATTCAACAGTTGATTTCAACTCTGCATTAATGTCATCAGAACAAAGCTACCATGAGAAATATAGACATATGAAAAGAATATTATACCAGACTGTAGGTTTCTACAGGAAAATAATGTGAAACTAGAAACACAATCCAATATAAAATTCTATTTTTAAACACATTTCTTTTTTATCACTCTATATTAGCATTAAAATTCCCCAATTTTGTATCTCAAAGATGAGTTGCAGCACTGTCTTTGGTTTGTGAAATGTTAGTCACCTTTTTTTAGTCACTGGTCCCCTGTTTTCCCCCCCCCCCTTTTTTTTTTTTTTTACAGAATGTGATTTGGTAAAAATATTTTTTAAAAAATCTATGCCTCAAATCACTAGTTTTGAAGTCACTTGCAGCACTAAGTGGTCAATAAAACATATTTTTCCTGTTACCAGAATAATTCCATTGAAAATATTTGTTTTGAAAACAGGCAGAGCACAATGAGAGTGCAGCTGTGATATAGATATAGATGATATAGATATAGGTGACCTGCATCTATTTGAGTGTACTCTGAACCCAGAAGTCTGGAGAAATGAACGTGAAGACAGTTTTTCTGTACTTATGTCTAAGCTGAACTTTACCCATGAGAAGTTGCACAGTCCGGATGACAAGGTACAGTGTCACCAGAACATTGCTTTATTGTTTCCTCAGCCAAACTGTACATTTACAAGGTACAATTCACATTGGCATAAGACTGGAATTTGTGCATCAGTATCTACTGCTGCCCTAGACACACTCCAAGACAGTTTTGAATATTTTTGTTAAATATCACTCCTTATTCTTTACCAAGAAAAAAAATGAAAACATGAATATGATCTACCTTAATCAACCATAAGGTGATTGATACTCAATTCAGGAAATAGTCTCAATTCAGCCGTTTAGTTTTTACTAGAGCACCATGTTCCTGCATAGTTTCTAAGATTTTGACTTGAAAAGATAAAAACTACAGCAACATACAGTAAAAAAAAAGAAAGAAATATAAACTGTTCATGCTCTCCTCACTTTTTCATGAAACATCCATCGAAGTCAGACAAGGCAGACTTTTGTTCTTTGGACTTTGTTTAAATCTACCCATACCAAATTGCTTTATATTAGGTCAATTAGTTTCTACAAATTGCTCTAAGGAATGAAATGGATTGTTTAAACACGTATCTTACTTAGAGATGAAAGAGAATTCTCAATATCTAATAATAAAACAAAATATTATGGTAAAACCCCCTTGAAATAAGCAGGCAATCAACCCCAAAATTCACACAGGTAACAGGTAACAGCTTGCAATAGAAGTCACTAAATTTCTCTGTTAGCCTAATTATTTACATTTTTGCTTTCACAGTAGTGATATGCTACTGGGTATAACAGAGATTCTTCTTGCTATCACAAGGTAAGGAAAGGTCAGTTTCCTTCTGTAAAAATCGTGTTTTCTGTAAAGAAAAGAGCTTACTGCACAAAATAAAGAGCTGTATAGAACTGAAATTGAAGCTGTGTAGAACTGAAATTGCAAGTCATTTGGAGTTGTGAAATACAGATTATTTTTTTTTTTTGGGGGGAGGAAGCAGTTAAATAGAACCTGCAATTGAAAGAAGCCTGAAAACTGTCAAAAAACCACCCCAATCTATTTCAATAGGCTTACCTGTTTAATACTTTTAAAAGTCCAGTACTTCCTCTTTACCCCACAAATCTCTCAGCCACTGGATGAAATCAAAATACAGCACTTGATCATGATAATCCCAGCCTCTCATAGACAACAGCATCTCTCACAGCACCACACTCAGAATGCTTGAAATGAACCTGGAAAACACAGATATTCTTACATTTTTATTGAAATATACTCAACCACGTCTTAGGATAAGGAAACATGAGCACTTAATCAGTGACGACATTATAAAGGAGTATAAAGCCATAAATATCCCCTGGTAAACAAGACAGAGACTGAGAAGTTCATGATCCAGGCAACATGTTTTTGCTGAATATGCAGCTCTGTTGTTCTTATTGATCCAATAAAACTGTCAGGATTAAAACATAGTATTTATCTTTTTTAAAAATTAAATCTTTTCATACATAAACCTGTAAGTCCTTTTTTATACAAATTCAAAAATGAATATCTTCTTCTGAACCAAAGAGAATCTTATCTGAGAAAGGTCATGGAAAGATTTCACTAACATTATAGCTAGCATTCCATAAGAACTTTGTTGAGTACCATTTTTTACAGTATCTTTCTTTAATAGAAAAATGTAACATGTAACCAGATGCAATGCAAACTCACACCAGTACCATGGTCTTCTCTTTAATGAGAAAAGGCATATAAACAAATAAAGAATTCAGGTGTCATATTACAAGATGTTTATAATGAAGACAGGGAAATTTAGAATTTTTTAAGATATCATGGAGAGTACCAGGTGGCAATCAGATAATGGTCAGTCCATGCAGAAGATACATTGAACAGGGTTTTTCTTAATAATATTAACTTCTTATTTCAGTCCCTATTGAAATTTATAGAGTGACAGAGCACTACTCTTAAACATCCCCAAAATTCTGAATGTCCCCTTTTTACAAGTACTGCATATGAGTTTTAATATGGAGCAGGAAAATACATGCACAGGGGTGAGAGCTAGGGTAATACCTATGTATGTAAGAAAAAAAGAATCCATACTGAGAAATAGCAGAAATAAAACACCAGTAAAGTTCTTGTCTAATTTTGCAAGGTGTTTCAGTAGTTAGCATACAGTATGGCATCTCAGAATTTGTTAGACAAGTGGATTATCTGTTGTTCAGTCTTCATCCATCATTAGCAGTTTTTCTAAAAGTTGCACAAACTGAAGGTATTTCTAAAAAAGATACAAGATTGTACTTAGCCCAGTTGTGAAGTGATAGTTCAGTGCATCTGAAGCATGATGCATAACCATTAAAAACAGTTTCCTATCATGCAAAATTTATCATCAGTCACTTCGAATGGAAGATCAACGATATCCGGGATTTTATGAATGTACTTCACTAGGATCAGGAATTACAATACCATCTCTCATTATACACCAGGTCAGATGAATGCAGGAAATGTGAAAGATTAGTGGAACATACTTTGAAAATCAAGTGAATAGATTGTTTTGAGATACGGATGGAATGTCTTCATCCAATCCAGTGCAGATAGATCACTGGCTGGTGCATGGGTCTCCACGACCAGACACAGAAATGAATTTTAGCAAGATAGAGGAAGGAAGACACTAATATGTCTAGAATATATCTACTACAGAACTCAAAATACATGGGAAAGGGTGCTTTTCTTTTTTTGTGATTTCCATAGTAACACCTCTGGTAAGGCAACAAGGAAGTTTTCTCAGAAATGTAATATCATAGACACGTAGAGGAGTCTAGATAAAAAGTAAAGGCTTTATGAATATCTCCTAGAAAGACAATGGAAAAGTTTTATTCAATTGTTGCCATAAAATTCTCAGAATCAGCTAGGTTGTGTATGACCAAAGTTAAATACTCAGGATAATTATATATAATTGTGTGGTATTTTTGTATCTTACAGTGTAAAGAGGAAGATTAACTAAGATTTCAGATTTCAATGCATCAGGATTGTATGACCAAATTGAAACAGCTTTGATCTTTAATGTGAGAAAGACGGAAGGTAATATGATCAAGGGATAAATCAGCTGGATAAAGGTCAAGATCTCCAGAAACTAGAATTTGCTAATACCACAGAGAGGTGGCGTTTCTGAGTCAGAATAAGGGAAACAGGGCTGAAATGATTATTAAGACAAGAACTGATGCCTGGTCTTGACCAATCACTTCTCTGAAGAAAGAGAAAACTCCTTAAAACTAGGAGAATCTGAAGTAGAAAAGTAGTCAGGAACAGTATCTAAGCCAGCGGGTACTTGCCTCTAAATACCAGTGATGGAGGAAAAGGCAGAATTCCTGAAAACATGCTAACCCAAATCCACATATCTGTGCTAACCAATGGAGATCACCTGCTAGTTTGGGACAACACAGAGGAAGATTTCTCCTTCAGAAAGTTCCAAAGCCTCCTTTCATCCTACCTGAGTAAAAGCTGGAGTTGAATGTGAAACATAGGCCAGTTCTTTAAAAACAATTTACACACACCTACAGAATGTGACAAAGAATATGGAGTAGACTGTATACAAGACTCATAAATTAAATCTAGATTATTCTGAACAGTAAAAATAAAATCCTTTATTATTTAGGAATTACTTTTCTTGTCATTTTCTGAAGAATTCTTGAGCAGATCCACCTGTGTTCACTCTTTTTTCATTGCTTTTTGGGGGCAAAAGCTGATTGATTTTCAAGGACCATCTCCCCCCAGCACAGGGGTGGTCCATCACCACATGCAGAAGTTAAATACAGGTGAGTGAGAGGTCTTGATAGATTAACTCCTTACTAAAAGCAAATATAAGAAGAAAGCGTGCAGAAAGTGAAAGCAGGCACACTCTCAGAGGGCGCAGGAATAGGGTTAGGACAGCAAAAGCCCATCTGAGGTTATATCTGTCGAGGGATTTGAAAGGCAACAAGACAGGCTTCAACGAGTAGATTATTAGTAAATAGAAAACTCGGGAAAGTGTGGGCCTATGTTCAAATGGGTAAGGGGCTCTCACGACAAAGAACACAGTAAAGTCTGACTTGGCGCCTTCTTCATCCTCATGTTTTACTGGCAAGAGGAGTCTTCAGGAATCTAAAACCCACGAGATCAGAGGAAATGTCTGGAGCAATGAAGAGAATGAAGAGTTATCCTTGGTGGAGGACGATACCAGTGCAAGAGGCCTGACAGGATGCTCACAAGAGACGACCCTAAAGAGTAGGAGAATGTAAAGATCACACCTATCTTCAAGACTTGTAAGAAGGAGTATCTAGGGAACTATAAGCAAATGAAATAAAGAATCCTGGAAATCTTTTCCAAATCCATAAATGATAAGAAGTTCATTGTGAGTAGTCATCATAGATTTATGGAGGGGATATGATATGAAATAATATTAGCTTTTGAAGTCATAGACATTCAGCAAAACTTGCATTTTTTATATGATGGGATGATGACCTTGGCAGATGAAGGGAGAGCAGTGGATGTTGTTTACCCCAACTTCATTAAAATTTTAATCATTGTTTCCCATAATATCCCCATGTACAAACAGATGAAAAATGGGTTAGATAAGCACATACTACAGTGTACTGAAAATTGTTTAAACTGCTGAAAGTATTTTGGTCAGTAGCCCAAGGTCCATAAGAAATCACTATTGGTTCACCTCAGGGGTGGACGCTGGGGCCAACACCCTTTAAGTCATTTTTGAAGACCTGGAAAACAGGAAAGAGCTCAACTTCAGTAATTTGAAGATGACACAAAACAGGAAGGAGGGGTTAATACATCAGATGGATGTATTGCCATTTAGAGGAGTGTCAACAGGCTGCAGCAGTGGTCAACAGAAACTTCATGAAGTTCAACAAAGGGAAATGTAAACTGGGGAGGAATGACACTTTAAGAGTCAGTGCATGCTGGGGATTAACTGGCTAGCAACCGGGTCTGGAGAGAAGAACCTGGAGATCCTGGGAGACAAACTGACCATATTCCAATGCGCTGACACTGGAGTAAAGAAGAGGGTCTGAATCAGGAGGGGTGTTGCTTGCAGATAGAGGCTGGTCCCTCCCCGCTGCTCATACCTGGTGAGACAGTCCTGGAGGGCTGTGCACAGCTCTGCTCTCTCCAATACAACTGACACGGACATACTAGAGCAACTTCAGCACAGTGCCAAGAAGGTGATGGACTGGAGCATCTCTCATGTGAGGAATGACTAACAGTGACTGGGACTGTTTATCTCAGAGAAAAAAAGTTCAGTGGGATCTTATCAATGTGTATAAACACATATCAGAAGGGAATGAAGAAGGTGAAGTTAAACTCTGCAGTAGTGCCAAATGGTAAGACAAGACACAATCACAAACTGGAATAAATGAAATTCTGTCTGAACACAAGAAAACAATTTTTACTGTGAGGTTGTTTGAACACTGGAGTAGGTTGCCCAGGAGACTGTGGAGTTGTCATCCTTGCAGATATTAAAAATCTAACTGTAAAATCTCCTTCACAATCTACTTTAGCTGATCCTGCTTTGAGCAGGGACACTGAACTAGATTGTGTCCAGAGAGCTCTGCCATCCTCATCCATTCTGTAATTCCATGAAGTCCTATAAAATGGTTGAAAGAATGAAAGAAATGATCAACAACTTCTATTTACTTCACAGTACCTTGAGACATATCAGCTTAAACTGTGTTGTAACAGCATACTGTTTTACGAAAGTAAAAAAAAAAAAGCTTATTTTGTTCCTACTCTGCTAAGACAGTGGTTTTAGTGCAATAATATTAGATGTGACTTTTGAAGTCACAGGCATTCATCAAAACTGGCATTTAAATAAAGAATCTGCAGAAGAAGAACAAGCCACTATATCTAACCCCCCCCCCCGAACCCTATTTAAGTAGACAGGTTTAATATTTAACATCAATTATGTTCTCTACTTGATAATTTTTACCATTACTGCAGTCCAATTTTTGAAAGTTAATTGAGGTAATAACACTGGAGAGACAGTAAAGATAGTCTGGAGGATACTTTTAAAAGCATAACCCCGCAGAAAAAATACCTAATAGTGTGCTTCTTAACAGAGGCTGGTAAAATCAAAAAAGCAAAGCCACAACAAACCTACACATTCTATTGCATTTCCACCATTGTGAAAACAAAATAAATAAATAAAGTGGCTATGTTTTGAACTCTCTTTGTTCAGGTATGTTTGATTGAAGCGGAATCCAGT